GAATGATTACATCATAATTGTATCCGCTAGAGAAAAGTTTTCCGATATCGTTGCATAAATCTAATGAAAAATGTTCCCCCATGGTTTGAAGGTATGAGTGTGTCGATCGTATCAGAAAATTCCAAAAAAATTCGGAGAAATCTTTATAGCTCATTCCGTTGAAGAATCGCGTCATGTGATATTGCCGCAGATGTATCCTTATAAGAATAATGAACCATCAAAAAGCCATTGTGCATTACGTGCATCAAACACTCTGTAAGGAAGTTTGTGAGAAAAAATGGATGGTTGTAGAATACTGAAATTTATCATTAAACCTTTGGAATTTCACACGCAATGTCTGATGCAAATAGCCCAGTTGCCTTGATGAAAAAAATTGAATGAACACTCTTTGGCTCGCGTTTTCTAATCGATGAATAAAGTTTAAAGGATTTTCATATCTTTGGTACATAATAATTATTTTGATTTATTATTTTGATCCATTTTTAACTTTAAACTTCGCTCATGATCGGCATTTAAATCTCAATATAAATAGTTACAATAATATTATTATAAAAAAGAAAATTTTATTTGTATTATTTTTTATTAAATATATAATACAAATTATCTAATATTAATATCTATTATTTGATTTATAATAAAAAAATTACATTTTAAAACAAATTTTACCAAAAAAAACCGTCATATGTTAAAAATTCATGGTAACGTGTTTTTTTTTTTTTTTGGCCCGAAAGTTTTGTGATGCGTTTTAAGTCTTCCTCATATAAAAAAAAAATTGACAAATAGATGCAACTATGACGACGGTTATATTTAAAATGATCTTTCATTTCGGTTTTTAATTCACGTTAAAAGATGATAAGTTTTATAAAAGTTTTTCGGCCCTGAAACAATAATTGTATTGTTTACCAAAGACTATCATCCTAAACTGGTTAATAATAGGGGTAATTTAATTCAATTACAAAAAAAAAAAAAAAAAAAAAACTCTTTCAAAACAACGAAGCCACTGAAACCGCCACTGAAACCACTGGTTATTACGAAAGATTATTTGAAACTGGTGAAGGATATTATGTTATAATCTATGCCGGACAAAATGAAAGAGTTAGGGAAATACGCGCGCACTCGAGTATTTTATGTTCTAGATCACAATATTTTCGCACAGCGTTCTCAAAGGAATGGGCCGA